AACGGACACGTTTAATATGGCAAACAACATTTTATATAAGAATGTATCGTATAAAGTTCAATTATTAAATCGATGAGCGTAGTAACGATAATAATAATGATAAAACTGACGACTTTAGAAATTATACAAAATGAACATAAGGGTGTTCATTTTGTATAGTATACCATACGTACAACTTTATAAAAATATACGTTCACTATAAAATAATGTTTAACTTAGTTTTTTTAACTTTGTTTTTTGCTTTTCTTCAAAAAAGAAATCTTGCGACAATAAGGGTTAAGGTTCTATCCTCATTGTAAGCTTGGTTACTGGGTTTTTGAGTCAAAAGACTTTTGCAAGAATCTATCTACCATATATCTATTAGGTATAATCTTTCTTGAATCACTTAATTTGGCAGTACAAAGTATCGTCTCAAGTACTTATCATTAGATCTTACTTTGTTTAATCCTACTAATATTATAATTGCGAATGTTTAGATGGATGGATGAATGGTCGTTTAAACGGCTGAACAGATCTCGATGAAATTTAGCATACATATAGAACATAACCTAGAAGAATACATAGGGTACTAATTATGTTTTTTTTTTTTAATTTTGCGCCGCGGAGTTTAGTTTAATAACAGATGTTCTGTTTTGTAAGGATAATTGTTATATTTTTTGTCATGCATTATCTTTTTAATGCGTTTATACGCATTCAATGTTATTGTCGTAATTAATTTTCTATTATTTAAATCGTTATCATTTAGCTGTTATCAGAAAAAAACCATGTTATGTCGCATCCTTTTTACATGGAAAAATTATTCTATGATTATGAAATGGATTTGATATTTTCCATTTTGATTAATTAATGTACTTTGTTATTATATTTCTCGTTAATCTAGCCCCGGTTGATAATATGTGTGACAACTTTGGTAATATGTTTGAATACTACTGTAGTTTTTTTGCTCTTTTTTTTCCGGTGTTAGCTTGTATTATGTAATATGCCATTATTTTGGCTTTTTATATTTCGTATCTTATTTTGACTTTCTAATTGCTATTTTTGATGATGTAAATAAAATAATTTTCTTTATTTATTCGTGTTTAATATTTGGTATGGTCAAAGATGGATACAGCTGGATGGATTGCGCAAGCAGGAAACGTCGAGGATATTCCGTGTCCGTATTATCAGCACGGGAAGTGGCGCGGCGGTTGCCCAAACACAACTCTATTTACTATAATACTGATGTATGTCCGAGAACTACTCTAAGATTTAATTGACACGGAAATCAAGTAATTAAACTAGCGGTTGATAAGCAATTAGGAGATTTGTGGTAATCTGTCTGGTTTTAAGTTAAGAGTAAGTTATGTCCCAAGAAATATTTAACCGAAAATATATAAAATAAATTAAAGAAACTAATTTTTTTTTTCTTGCTGTACTAGTATTCTTACGTTAGTTAATATCTGAAATAAATTGTCATATAGCCATTAAGTAACAAAAAAAATTGTAAAATCACTAAAGAGTTAAAATACGATAACAATATCGGACGATTGCATGAGATTATTTTATGACGTTTAGTTGATATTGGATTGTACAGTGAATCGGGATCAAACAAGTATTCTCGGTATGCTACATAATGCGTGGGGAATGTTCAGCCGGAACTAATAAGGTGTGTTATATAACAGAACGAATAAATCTTCCCAATGTATGTATGGTGCAATTTTATCAAGGTTCGTAGTGACGTAGAGACGCGTAGCATGGGCGTAGAAGACAATCCTAATGAGATTAACCATCGCTTGTATTAATAACCCACTAACACGTTTGTATCGGCCAAAGATATTGCTATCTCGTGATTTAGCCGTAGATTACATCACGATCCTGGAATAATCTACAATAGTACTGGATTTAGGTCGCTCCTAATCTGGGAGCATCGCCAAATTTGGTTACGTTCGTGATGAGTATTTTGTTTAAATTGTATTACCATTGAATGGAATTAATTAAGTTTTATTTTCAAGTGTAGTCGCTGATATGTGACGTGAAGGATAAAATTATAGAGTCTAAGCACACGATAGAGTAAAATATATCGTATAAGCCACAAGTTTTAGCTATACCACATAGCAAGTCGTTTGATGAAATGCCACTATGGGTATCCACGGCAATTAAAAAAAAACAAAGCGTTATCCCTAACAGTGAAAAATCTGAGATAACAATTTTTGTACGGTTGTTTCACCCGTAGAAAATATTACGTATGTTCAATTGTTTCAAAGATGCGAAGTGTGATTTAAAAAAAAATCTACCAGATCTAGTGGCTTTTGCCTGAACCTAGCTCAAGAGACTACGACTTGCACGGTTTCTATATTTAGCACCGGAATGCGGTACCAGACGGTCTGGCGCTCGCACCTCGTATACAACTTGTGCCAAACCAAAATTCGATGAATGCTGCAAACATCTTCAATATGTTTGTCGGTGTGGTATTGTAGAATTTGCGTTGCGTTTGCAAAAATATTGATTGCTGTATAAATTTACTTTTAACGTTCAAGCCTCTTCTATTGTAAATGTTTGTTCATGTTCCAGCAAAAAATTGTAGGTGTTATGATCGTATTTCTTGTCTCATATTTTTGTAATTTTAAATAATTTTAATTTTATTTCAAAGGTTAGATTTAGACATTTGATGATTGAAAGTAAACAATTAATTTACGTTTACTCACGAACAGAATGATTTAATAAAATTAATTGATAATTGTAAGCTCAATAAAAGTACTAAAACTGTCTCAAGCATTCTAACTTTTTTTCTATATTTACAAAATAAAGTCGTAACTCAATTTACACTAACATAAATGTTTTTTTTAAATCTTATTTCGACATGTTAACTGAACGATAACGTATTTATTATAGTTTGTAACCTAATTGAATCGGCCTATTAAACTAGTGCAGTTATGTGGGCTGTTCTGCTTTATGGCCTGTACATTAAAATAAGTAATGACCAGTCGACAGGTTGTGGTCGGCCCGTTTGTTTTTATCCGGCACACAATGTAAATATTTCGTTATTTGAGGCTTAGTTCAAAGAGCCGCTCCTGAAATTTGGCCGATGTATCGAAACACATTAAACATAACACGTTGCGTGCGCGGCCTCGCCGATTTATTACTCTCCGACTGTGTTTTTTTTATACCAAGTAGAATTTCGCAGCCTGCTTTGTTCCTTGTTATTTTTAATTTACGTCTATTGATAGAAAAATGTGGGTAATCAAAGGTTGTACGAGGAATTAAATCTTATGGTACGAATTAATTATTTATGTTTTCAAATAAATACGCGTTGAAACTGATTGATTCAAATAAAAAAGTAGCTTCCTAATCTAGTATAGTCTTATTCGTGTTTCATATAATAGTCTTGATTAGTATGGAAGTATGTTAGGTCTGAACCAGGGCACGTCTTGCACGCACCTTGATGACGTCACCAACTTGGCCGTGGCCGTAGACACATACAAATTAGGACGGCCCAATGTTTGGTGTTAAAACGTTTTGATAAATTTACAGATTTGTGTCAATACTGACCGCCAATATTGATCATGTCTGCCAACTTATATGTTAATAAGTCGCTTGAATTCCTCGCCAAGATAAATATTAAATAATCGTTTCCGTGTGAACATATAATCGTATATTATATGTAATCGATAATTTTAATCTAAAGTCCACTTGTTGATTTTTACTATATCAGAAAAATTTCGAGAACGTTGCTTTTAATTTTAAAGCTTGCCAACTTTACGCAAATATACTTGGAATGTGATGACTAGAAACAATTGAAAAACGTATCTTCTAACCAATTAAGGTGTTTTTTAAATTTGAAATTACTATAATCATATTAATTGCCTAAGTATGTTTGTTACATTTTCCGCCTTAGAGTTTCTTTGTATAATATTCAATTAGGCACAAGCAAGTTTTGTTTGTTCCAAAAGCTGGTTTCTTGAAACGATAACAAACATGACCATTAAACTCTCCTAAATTTCCTATCATTAGGGTAATTATTTAAATTTTATTGATTCGTTGTATTTGCAAATGATGGCTATCCGACGCAATTGAAACGATTGTATAAATATGCCACGAGAAAAATTAAAATAGGGTAAAATACTAAAATTGTAACTTTGTAATATGAATTAGCTTTTATTTCTAACGTATTCAGTTTTTTTTATTTTTTTTTCTTCATTAACTTTTTCTTTATGTCCTTGTATTTTATCCATGTCGAACGTTATTGAATATTTTATCGAGTTTGCTTAATATTGACTATTTCTTAATATCATATAGTTGTAAAATCGACTAATTATGTAGAACTTCTAATATTTCTAAACATATATTGTTATTCTATTCCTATTATTTTCGCTTGCAACGTAATAAATTTCCTTCGAAAACAGTTTGTACGTTTGAGTTTTTTTTAAACAGGATAAAAGACAAAGTTATAAAACGTAGTTCAGAATGCAAAAATTATATAAAAGTAGCAACAAATAAGGAAAATACAGAATACGTCGTTATACGTTAGTACTTCCTATAATTTTATCAGCACGTGGACCCAATAAAATGATGCTATTCATGGGCATTGACATCTTATGTTTATTCACAACACGTGGTAGTAAGATATTAACTACGGATTGTTGCTTTGTTAGAGTAACTAAAACCATCGCGGTAGTAGGTGTTATGAACTCTTGTAATTAAGCCAGAAACCAATTTCTATTTCTATTCCTATTACTTTGTCGCAAAGAATAGAAATTCGTGGGTCTGTATCTTTAGTTTATCCGTTTCATTTTCTCATATCTAATAAATGAGGACTTGAGCACCACCCAATATCACCTGATGTTAACTGGCCATGTAGTTAAAAGATGGACGCTCGCAGACGCACTAGCTTAGTAAATTCTTATCAATTTTTCTCTTCAATGCACGTTATAACATGAAACAATGACGTAGTAAATTGCTTCAATCCTTTGCAACAAGACTTTATATTGTAAGGTATTGTATTTTGTGATATTTTATTGTAGAACGGGTTCGTGGAGTGCCGCAGCGGGGGCGGTGAGGAGGAGTGCGGGCCGATGGAGGAGTGTGCGGTGGTACTACCGCGGGCGGGGTGTTGCGCGCGATGCAAGGGCTGCTGGTACAACGGCACTGAGCGCGCCTCGCACACCGAATGGGCGGAGAGTGGCAGACTTCTCCGCTGCGAGGCTGGCGTAGTCACTGTTTCCCGGCCCGAATGCTATGTGCCCTGCGACAGGCCAAGGAGGCAGCGGCATACACACTACAATTGTCCTGTCTGTGATGGTAAAGTTTTTTTTAATTTTCTTAAGTATCAAAACCTAATTAATTTTGGCCTATGCTCTGTACATCAGTCAAAATTTTAAATTATAATCTAGCATTTTAAAATTGCCGCACAGTCTGTGCAATAAACACTAAGGGAACAGTTAAGTAATCAAGCTTTTTAATTGTAGAACTTAAGTACAAAAAATAAAACAGACATCAAAATGTCGTATTTCACGGTGCATCTTCCCACCGAAAGCACTTTATCTCGGAGCATTATAATTGCTGCGCCGGCGCAGTCGTGTCTCGCCGCGCGCCCACCCAGACGCATGCGCGCCCAAAAAACAACAACCAACACAATCCCACATAAGAGCAAACAAAAGCCGGCATGCGAACTTAATAAAACAAAGACCGACCTGTAATTTACCACCGCTCTTGTACTTTAACGAGTTTATTAATTCAATATCGAATAATAGCATCTCGAGGATAAGCATTCGGTGTGGATGTAAAAGATTCATAGCTACATTCCATTTGATGTTTTATTGGCCTTAATGTTACGATTTAGTTTATCATTCTTTATTTGTTGAACATTCAGTGAGTAAAAAATTACGGTTAAACCAGATTATTTGATGAATGATTAATTCAACTGCGAAAGGAAAAAAAACTATTGAATTGCATTTGAATGAGACACGACGTATACTATCGGATTCACTCTTAAAAGATCTTGAAAACTAATTAGTACATAACTTTTTATGTGAGTGTAGATGAGATATCTGTATATGCGCCATACGTCAACACAATGCACTTAATAATAGCACTAGTCAAGACCAATGAATATTGCGAAGTAGCCTACCCTATCTCTGAAAAATAGACTACTTTGAAAGAATACAATGCGTAGCTCGATATGGCAGGTGCTGTTTTGATTTTAATATCAAAATTATTGTTGAAGTATTAATAAAGGTCATAGAATTTATGGACTACATTTAATCTCAATAAAGAAGAAAGTATTCTGGCGTGTATTTATTTTCGTACTAGCTGTCGCCCGCGACTCCGTCGGCGTGGACTTAAATCAAAACATAATTTGTAGCCTATGTGTTCATCTAGACTATATTCTATATGTATGCCAAATTTTATTGAGAGTTGTTCTGGAGATACCTTCAAACAAAAATCCATCCATATAAACATTCGCATTTATAAGATTTCGTATAAAAGTAATTTATATTTTCGATGATAGATGACGTTAGTCACTTTTTGATACAATGTCGATTTTAAATGTCTTCATGTTTTGAAATTCCCTTTGACTGACCACCCATGTGGACCGATGTTGCGTGCTCCAACGGCCTGAGCTTTAGGCACAAAACAGCAAAAGCAAAGAAACGATATCTGTCTTAATACAATCCGATTCCTTATTATGTTCCAGGGGTTCATTAAAATTATATATCTTTGGTGTTCGGAAAGTCTCCCACGGCGTTGCGTCTCTATTATTGACCATAAATCAAAAAGTTAACAACCTACTTAAAAGGTTGAGGCGGGTGGGTTTTTGTGCGGCTCAAAGCGACCGACGTCGGCCCGGCTGCGGGAACGATGAGGTGTGCCCTATGTTTGTTTGTTTTAACATCCCAACGGTGCATTAGACTTTTTTGCTTCTTTTCGATGTGCTTTTTATACGATTCAATTCTTATCAGTGTCCGAGTGTTTTTTTTAGGCCCGAAAATAATGCACATCATTTCGTTCGTCGTAATCGTCTTTTTAAGACGTTCGGAATACGGCTATCGCATTTTTAAATCCACGTAAGAAAATCTTATATATGAAAAAATGGTTTATTTTGGGTTCTGACTCATCAGAATTCTCCAGGTGTCCTGTGGCATTATCGGGCATGGAAGCGACGACAACCTAAGAAATTGAAATAATTAGCCTGTGATGTACGCTCCGTACGTGCTGCGAATACTCTACACAGTTATATAACCATTCTTTGTAGGAAGAACATGTCGGCATTTCTTTAAATAATTTGGAATACGCTTATAATATGACTAGATAGCTATAATTTAAATAATACATGGTTTATATCTTAATATTATAATATAATATTCTTAGTACAGCGCTTATATCTTGCTTCTTATTTTACTAATATTGGTAATGCGAATTTTTGGACGTATGGATGGATAGATAGATTTTTGTTAGAGGGTCTGAAATTTGGCATAGATGTAGAACATAGCCTCGAAGAACAGAAGGCTACTAATTAAGTTTTTATTAATAAGGCGCGGACGGAGTCTCGGGCGACAGCTAGTACATTAAATTTACAAATTCTAAAAGGTAAGTCTGAAAGTTGACGGACGCCTATCAAAAACGTTGCAAAATATAATTATGCATGTGTTGTACGAAGTTTTAATATTCATTAGAAATTGTATGGAATAAAACAACGAATGTTTTACTTATATTTTTTGTGTTAATGTTTATTCGGTGACGCAGCAGAATATCGCGGCACCGCGCGGACTGATGATGAATACTTCATTGTTTGTCTACAAAAGGAGTGCGCGCTTTGTTCAGTTTGTTGGTCTTGTGTAGTTTTACGACAGACACTTGACTCTCTTCATTGTCACAATTATGCGCCGACTGCGGCGGTCCACTTAGGGCTGTCGACATACACAAATACAAACATTTTTGATATAACTTTATATTTAGAAGTAAAATTTAAGCTATTTGAAGATTTTATACTTAATACAAATTCTTAATTTCATACTTGTTATATTACGTATTTTTTTATTAGTTTTAATTTAAATTAAAGTGGCAACCCTATTTGTTCATCCACTTCACTTAATATGTTGAATGTTGTGTATTGAATGAAACTTATTTAACAATGTACAGCGTGTTCGTATGTACACTGTGCACATACAAACACGCTGTATGTCATCCAGTTCCATTATATTCAAACGCACTTCTCAGTACTTCAAACTAGCGATCATAAAAGCTTTTTGATTGCGAATCAAGAACATTGTCATCGTAAGCGCTCATTGTGATTGCAACATTGTATTTGTGATTTAGATGATAGGAAAATACCTACGTATGCTTTGTAATGTGTTATTGTGTAGTAGAACTTAAACAATCGTTAAGATAAACTAGTCATTGCGTAGTCAAATAAAATAGTCCGGACTTGTTCACGAAGAACGATGACCTAATGTTTGTCGCATTAATATAATGTGCTTTTATTTAGATCTCCCAATATATTCTAATTTTAAATATGATTTTTTTTTTCATAGAGTAAATGGTAATTTAAATTTTATCTTATTTGTTATTTCAACGACAAATCTATATTATTTAAGTACTGTTTTGTAAAAACTGAAACAATGTAATAGCTGTATCAACAGAACGATACATTCCATTCATAACATCTACTATAACGATCAAATTAAAAAGAAGAGAAATAAATTAAAGCGGTTATTGGATGCAGCTATAGTGATACGAATCGTATATTTTTTACAATTAGTTTCCCTGGAGATAGGGCGGGCAACGCGGTGGGCGCGCCGTGTGCGGCCGTGCGTCATTCTTTATAATGCTATCCAAACTTTATGGCAGCTCGCAATTTGCGCGCTGGGCATAAAACAATTCTAAGCACAGGCTCGCAACTGCAAGATATCTTCCACATTCTGTGGGCTCTTGCAGCCTTTATAAAGTTTGAATCTTATTATACCTCCTGATTGATTCATTGTACACTCGCGCTAATTTACGGGGTTTGTGCTTTGTCACAGCGCCGCCTATTCTGAGCTTCGCCAGACAATAGTCTCGCATTCCTGTTTTTGTATCCGTCAATCGCATTCTTCAACCTTCAAATTGGCGAAGGAAATAAAACCTCACTTAAATACATCGTCACGGATATAAAAATTGTAATGCTTTGTTTTAAAAAAGAGTAAAAAAAAATAAAAAAATACAGTTTGTTTTCTGTTGTTTGCCGCATTAAATAAAGTCCAATAGCTGGTGGTTTTGAAATATTAAAATTCTATAAAGCACCAAATTATTTCATGATAACTGTAATAATAAAACAAATGACGCTTCCATTTTTTAAACCTCTGACCTATGTGTATCAATAAAATGTTTCTTTAATAGCCATAAATTATACATCTTACACATGATATGATTAAATAAATGGCGATACGATGATTTATTCGCCTCTTTCATTGTATTCATTGTCCGTTTGAAGCGGAACTGGCAAGTCAAATGTTAAGGTTACGTACATAATTATTAACGTTGTATCTTCGATTAGAAGATATTTCTGAGAATTTTTACAAAATTGCATAAAACTTTTCAAAATTGTCAACAGAGCTTGCAGCACAGCTGACAACGAAATTGAGTTGTAATTTGCTGAGTATAATAAAGGATTAAAAAAATTGAATTTAGATCTAATTTAAAGAAAGCAAAGACCTGTCAGCTAATGAAATGTATTTATGTACCTATTAAACAATATCTCTGAATAATCTACGACATCATAAATAAATAAAACGTTTTTATATGCTTTATTGTTAACCACTACAATTGTTATAGAAATAATCATAATTCCAAACATCCAAGGTTATTTCAACAAATCATAAAAACGTAGTACATAGTACAATATTTTTGTACTTTATTTATTTAAACATTTAACTCCGATTTTGTTGTACATATTTCTAGTAGGAAACGTTTATCCGAGGACAGCGCGTAGCGTTGACGATAAGTTTATGCGTCTCGTTATGTCACTAGATAATATTGATAACAGACTCCATATAACGGAACTTTGATGCTCATTGTGTTGGCGTAATCAGATTAGTATTGTGCAATCTACAAAGCGCTTTATTATCAACTGCACGCTTATTATGAAATTACAATTATTTATAACATAGACTGGTGTTTAAACTTACGATGAATTATAGCCGCATTCAGAGTTATGTAATAGTTCTAAAAGCAATCGCTAAGTATAGGCTCATTATATTATAATATTATCTTTCTGTACGTCTCTATTCTGTCTACGGACAGCGGTCACTTCGCTATTTTAACAAAATCCTCTGACCCTTTGGTGCCTTGCATCTTTTTGCTATGAAAAATAATATATTCATTGTTACTGTTGACAGAATGCGTGATCAACGGCCAGCGTGTAGGCGAGGGTCGTGACGTGCGCGTGCCAGAGGAGCCGTGCTTATCGTGCCGCTGCGTGCACGGAGCTCTGTCCTGTGCCAAGCGCGCCTGCCCTGTACTACCCTGCGCGCGCGCACACCAACACACACCGCCCGGCGAGTGTTGCCCGCGCTGCACACACCCCATGTCCGACAAATTTCTGCCCGGTATGTTATCTCTTAAAAGTCTTCAAATATACCTTTAGAAGCTGGTAGATTTAAAGGGATACCTTTGAAAATATATTAATATTATTAAAAAGACAACAGAAAAATATTTATTTTAAAAAACAATCCAACAGGTTTAGGCAGTTTACCGAAGCCCTGTATAATTGGCAAGGAGTACCACGCGCACCTGAGCCGGTTCCAGGTGGATCCGTGCACGGATTGCACGTGCATGAACGGCACGACGGTATGCACGCGGCACACTTGCCCGGTGCTGACGTGTGGTGCACGCGCATTACCCCCAGCCCCGGGTAAATGCTGTCCTGAATGCCCACATGTCGAAGAGGCTAAAGCTGCCTGTGTTGTTGGCGGGGTTACCTATCAGGTATTATTTGCATACATTGTTATAGTTTCCATCTGATCACCATCGAAAATAAAACGTATGTACATACAACTAATTAGATTTTCAAAGACTTAATATTAAAGAAAGGAATTAGAAGCTATTTAATAATTGTCACCAAAACAATGTACTGTTTTTTCTAGAACCATTAATTTGAGATTAGGTAAAAGTAAAGAGAAAGTTGTTAATTTAATTATTTATCATTTCAGGATGGAGAAATTTGGCAATTGGACGCGTGCAAATCATGCGAATGTCACGGAGGCGAGCCGAGATGTGCCATGGAGAGATGTCCGCCGCTGTCATGTCCCTCCGACCAGAACCTAAGGCAGCTTCCCGGCCAGTGCTGTCCCAAATGTGTGGATATCGACGGTATTTGCACTGTCTTCGGTGATCCTCACTATAAAACTTTCGATGGAAAATTCTATAGCTTTCAAGGATCGTGCAAATATCAGTTAGTATCGGACTGTGCGAATCACACCTTCTCGATAAGAATTTCGAACGACGCACGAAACACTTCACATTCCTCATGGACCCGTACGGCGACGTTGCGTATTGGGGCCACAAAAATAAATATGGGACGCAAAATGCGCGTTAAAGTGAACGGCCATAGAGTGACACTACCCCATAACATTAAAAAAGTAGCCGACATAATCCGAAGCAACGGTTCCGTTCTTTTAAAATCTGACATCGGAGTGCAACTCCTCTGGGACGGGGATGGATTTTTAGAGGTGACCGTATCAAGTGCATATAAAAATCAATTGTGCGGGTTGTGTGGGAATTTCAATTCGATGGCAAGAGACGATATGAGGACGCGGGACGGGAGACAGTTGAACGATCCGTGGCGTTTCGGTTCGTCGTGGCGAGTGGGTGGGCGGCGTTCGTGCTCGCGTCCATCGGAACGACCAAGTATGAATTTACGTTGCCCGCAGTCCAAGTTGGTGAAGGCGCGAAGGTTGTGTCGCGGCTTCGATCGATACGAGGCGTTCTCGGATTGTGGCGGCAAAGTGAACCCGCACAATTATCGCGAGGCGTGCGTACGGGACGCGTGCAGCTGTGCCGGCAAGCGCTGTCATTGCGCAGCGTACCGGGCATACGCGCGCGAGTGCACGCGGCTGGGCGCCGAGCCTCATGGGTGGGCGCGGGCAGCCTGGTGCGAGGGCCCGCCGCCACCCTGGTTGGGCCGGTCGCGAAAGCAGTCGCTTGCGAAGCCAACTAAGAAGGCGTATCTGGTGCCGCCAGTCATTCCGAAGACGAGCAACAATCGCACTCGACCCCCGCCACCGATATTGCACTAACGCGGAGGTTCTACTAGTCAATTGTGTCGATTTGGCAAAGTTAGGTAAGATAATATTTATTTTGAAATTCTATATTCGTTGATTATATTATACCAAAACATCTTTTGAAACATAATTTTGATTCTTGAATTTCTTATCTTTATCCATATTTGGGTATTGTAAATCTTAGATATATAACATAGTATCATTTTAAGAAACTGAGTAATTTAAAGTATATTTAACTAAAGTGCAGAAATTGCATGGACGTAGATAAGACTGTACCGAAAAGTAATCCAATATGTATGATTTGTTTGTTACTTTATAGTAAGAATTAAAAGATCTGTTTTTCTTTTTTCAGTGTATTACGAGTTATACGAGGGTTTCATCAGTGAGGGGCCGACTACCTACTAGAGCGAAGACCTATTTACTCAATCAGTATTCACGTTAAACTTACATTAAGTAAACAAATACCAATTATAATCGTAAAAATCCGCTTAGCTCGTTATTGCCTCGCGTTCATCGACAAACTTACATAAATCGATTGTAAGATTATCTTACCAAATAAATCTCAGCTTAGTTTTATAGAGAATAAAGTACATTTTAGTTGTGATGAGATTTTCTAATTTAATTATTATAATGACTTACTAACTTTGACTTGTTAGATATAATAATCATATTTGGGCTATGTTGATTATTGTTGCATTTAAATGCAAAGAAACAATTTTAAATACGATACGTCCTAAATTATATTATGTACTTGAAGTTAGTATTAGGGTAAATTATTTACTGTTATATAAAGATATCTATGTAAGATATATGTAACAAGAAAGCCTTAAGGACTTTTTTGGATTATTAAATGGCTTTATGGCCCAGTTATTATATTTGTTAAATGTATCATTAAGTTAATTAATAAGGAAAACGCTTGATCCGTTGATTGTTAAAAAAAAATCGTCATCCTATCATGAAAACTTTTATCAAAATGTGATATAAGGTTTATTTATGATTTTTGTATGGCAGAGAAGTTTGGTAAAGCATAGTTCAAATTGAGATCTCATCTGTAGTTTTACTAAATCTAAGATAATCTTGCTATCTCAAGCCAAGAAGCTAATTTGAGGAAACTTGTATGAATGTCTGAATCATACTTTAAACATAGATTTAATACGTCTCTATTATTTTTTAAGCGTTAAATGTCATTGTTTTTATTATAGAGTTTTAATTTCACATGGGTTTTAAGATATTTTAGCAAGTTTAATAAAATCTTTTTCGATTTCGATACCGATTAGGACCCATATTTTTTCAATTTTATAACTAACAGTGTTTACTTTATAAAACAATTTGATGTTAAAACTTTATAATATTCGAAAATATACCTTGGCTGAATATGCTGGCAGAAATTAACAGAATTTAAATGAGGTTCCGAAATGTTACAAAAATATTTTTTGTTAATATCTTAACTCGTAGTAGTGCCATATTTGACAAATCGATTTGACATATTTTTTTTTGTATTCGGAATAGACTCAATCCCTTTGTATTACACACCTTTAGTTTTATGTACAGTAAACAATTACGTGTGTAGACAAAATTTATTTGTCAGTTAAACTGTACAGTCCTCATTGTTGCCTACACAGGTAACGTTTAACTGTACAGTTTAACTGTTCAATGAAAACTGGAGGAACCTAGAGTGCTTTATTGTTTCTTTTGTTGCACAAATAGAATTTAATCGCATTTATTCGGGCGGGTCGCAGTTGTAAAACAGAGAACTGTTTTGCAAGAACAGTTTGCCTGTCACTCAAAATTTTGTCTACACGCGTAACTTTTAACTGTACAGTTCGTTTGTACAGTTGAAACTGGTTGTCTGTAGCGGACTTTACTGATTTATTTGTGCAAAATGATATAACTAGACCGCATTAGATTGGTATCTAGGTATTTATTTTTGTATACAAATGTCTAGGAGATGGTTACTTAAATATAAAATAAATATTACGATAAAATATAAATAAGTACAACGAATATTAATACCAATATCAAGCGACTGTTGTACATAGACTAATATTTTCTGAATGTATAGTTAGTGGTATTATTTTGTGCATGCCACCGATCGATAGTGATTCACGTCGCGTATTTTGTTAGACGAAATTCACAAACGATAGGTGACATGTACTTGTATCCTTGCAAAATTTAGTTGTTAGAAGCGTTACCAATGAACTTTATACGTAAAGTGCGTTACAAACTTTCGTATTTTATTTTCATATTGACGTACACGCAGCCAGAAAATCGATATAATACCAACCATTTAAGAATACAGTAGGAAAAACAGTTGCCATATTTCGTAGGATGACCTTGAAATATATAAATTTATTTGTCATTTAATATCTACCTTTACCATGTTTTTTTTTTATTTGGCTGTGGATTCTACGTATGCTGCTTTATTTTCAAAACTTGTGAATATCATATGTGCCATTCATCTATTACATTAATTGTGATGAATTATATTTATTTTGCAATTTTTTCCTAATTGTGAAAATTCTTCTTAAACTCGTTTTAGAAAGATACGTATTTATTTTTTTTTCTAATTATAATTTTAATGTCTTTTTACGGAGATATATTTTTGATACATGACTTTTCTTGAATGTACTTTTATTCCTAAAATAACAAAACAGATTTTTTTTAATTTTTGAAAAACATTTTGAGTGAAAATTAAGCGTACACCTATTTACAGTCTGTAGAAGTATAATTTATCATTTGTTCTATATCTGCTTAAAATAATTATAAGTGATATAAAGAAACATATATATAAAAATTAAATCATGAAGCGCATTTTTGAAATAACATGACGTTTGATTTTTCAACGAAACAATATTTTTTGCATATATAACTTACAAGATGCCCTGTACTGCGTCTGAGCAGAAGAAAAAAAAATATTTAGTTGCCTAAGTGTTCTTTCGGATTACATTCGACGTTTTTTTAACTGTTATTTTGTACTATAAATGAAAAGAATGAAGGACTTTATAAGGCCTTCGAAGAGCTTTTATTTTCGCCTAACTATATTTCTCCGAAAAACGAATTAATTGGTTATCTATGATGTGTCGATTAATTTTTGTTATATTATATTATATTGATACGGTAATTTCAGTTCAATGTAAACTAAAGTAAATCATCGATTCATTCCTATTATATCTAATCTATAATAATTTATATCTTTCCAATTTTACTACTACTTACTTTTAAATTTAAGGCAAGTCTACGTTTTAAGTAGACTCGTTAAGTTATTCGAAAAATTGATTTCATATATTCAAATAAACATCAATACGAATTGTATATGATTGTTTTATTTTATGTAAGGAAAATTACGAAGCCTTTTTTTTACGGGATTTTTGTCCATATCGGACATGTCAATCCCATAGTGCCCTTCCTTTTAATAAACGAGCTGGCATAATCGTACCGCCGCGATTGAAGTCGGGTCTGACAGAATGGAAAAAACTAGGCCAACATCATATAAATTAACTTTAATTTCTGTAAATAGCAGCTCACGATCCCGCCTGTTTTTCTCACACTCCAACAGCAAGTGATGATCATCTTCGGGCTTCCGACATGTCTCACAATTAGGGGACATGGTTTTTTTCATTAGATATCCAAAACTTGCTGTTGGGTAGTGGCCAGAGCGAAGTAAGCTGTTACCTGAATTTGTAAAACTATTGGCTGCGTTTCTTATTCCTAAACAACCGTATAAAATATCATGCTATCTCTTTCTTTTTCTACAAGAGAGTAAGAAATAACAATATGGTATTATTTTGAATAATTTTACATCGTTCTATGTATATTGCTAATTGCGACCATCAATCATCAAACGAAATACGTCTTTCGTTTTCTCAAGTTTAAAATATTTTAGTGTCGTTTTTCCAATAAAAATATTTAGAAATAGTCTTTAGTCATAAGTTGCTAAATATAAATATTTATATAAAATAAAAAAAACGGCAATAAAATGGTCTACTGAAAGAGTTATAACCTATAACTCGTATCTGGCTAGTATCCAATTGAAAGAAAAATGTCATCAAAATTATAAAGAAATATTTGTAGACGACTTTAAAGTGGAATACTCATTACTTTACTTCTTTAATGTAATATTACATGACATTAAGACATTAACCAAATTTAAATAAATGATTATTTTTTATGATTTTTTTTAAAAGCAGGCGTGAAACGAAATGGGCCGCGGACGAAAGCGAAAGCGTGCCCGTGGTCCCGATGCGTTGGAGGAACAGAGGGGTTTAGTGGGTATGCTTCCGATCCGGAAGAGAATCCCACATAACTACCGCGTCCCCCCGGGGCGCGGAGTATGCATAAACCATTCCCCTCAAAAAAAAGGCGTAAACCTAATTTTACTTTAGCCGTGGTTCTTTCTAAATGTGATTAGATATTTGAATATGGAATCATATGAGAATAGCTATAGTTATTCGGGTAGCCCATATTTTATTTATGCGCTTAGGCGTCCTCTGGGGAATTTGTTTCCATTTCTGGGGTCTTTGACTCAGAATCAGTTTTACCGCTTATGATGTTTACCAAATTATCGAGTGGTTCCCACTTTTTTCCATCTCCTATTATCCAGGGTTACAGGACGCCAACTGAACGTCGTCTACTCGGGAAGTTACAAGTCAATTCATTAAATAAAACACTAAGATAGTATATTAAAAGTTTTATTAATAAGTAGATATAAACATTACTCAGCCACACACATCAATTAACGAGAGAAAATATTATTTTGTACAATACATAAATAATACTTTTATATTAAATACAATATGTTGCTGTAGATGTAGTTATTTGGTGTCCAATGTTCCTTAAGCCTCGAAAAGTGGAAGTATTGAAATGTAAGAAGGTATCCTTAAGTTAAAACGTAAGTATAAATAAAGAGTAACGTTGTTTTTTGATGTTTATTCTCCGGTCATCATTTCCATGAACTCTGTAAAAAGTATAAAAAATAAATGGGATTTTTGAAAAAAACATGGTATCATTGTGTTACTATGGTATTGATTACAATCAGTACAGACCAACTGAATATCGTAATATAACGGTTGAATGTTTGTTGATTGGCAAGTAAAATATCGTTAAGTCCTTATTACACTCGGCAACGTAAATTTTCATAACCCGACGATTTATGTCACCAAGGGAATTACACAATGCAAAGTCATAGGTTAATACACGATTTACGCTGACTTGTGTACGGTGTACTATAGGCGGAACATCAAATAAGTTGCCAGTGTCAGTTTTTTAGTCCAAGAATGACGTCGGGGCCTTTAAGTGTAAAGTCAATAGGAATTTACTAAGCTATCTATCCACCACATCATTTTACATCAGATGTGTAGCATTCGTTGCGTTTTATTTGGCTCGTTCACGTACCGACACGTTTTGCCGGTCCAAAAGTCTGACATCGACTGACGTCCCCTCTCTCCGGCATGTACTTATGGCGTGTAAGCTCGAGACAAACAACACTACGTTTATGCATACACTACAAGGTAGGTTCGTTTTCAAGCGCTGCCTTGTGCCATATAAAAAAATAAAATGACGTATAAGTGGCTTGCTTGATATGGATTCATTAAGGGTATAGTTACCATCGAAGTCAACGGTGCCGCTGCCGTCGGTATCAATCTCCTGGATAAGGCCGTCTAGTTCGTCATCTGTCAGCTGCTCGTCCAGCTCGCGCAGGATCTCGCGCAGGCTCGACGTGGGAATGTAACCGTTGCCTGCAATTAACGACCGTCAATTACATTTATAAGGAAACTCTAAACTAACAACCTTTGTTGTCAAATAGTATGGATAAAAAAAAGTAAGTGAGTTTAGCCATGATCAAAAGTAATATCAACATCTTTTCAATTCGTTGAACACCATCTTTACATTGAAAGCTTTCCTAAATGAAATTAACAACACAACGTAAATTGTCTTACCTTCCTTGTCGTATAACCTAAATGCTTCGCGGAGTTCTTTTTGCATGGCTTCTGCGTCCTCTTCAACGATGAACTTGGCAGCCAAAGTCACGAACTCGGGGAACTCGAGACGTCCAGATTCTGATAGGAAAGAAAGTGAGATTATTTCATTGGTTTTTTATATTCGTGAGGAACGGCACAACTTCAAGTACGTATAAATATCTATATGATTGAATACTCACTGTCGGCATCGACTTCCTCGATGAGTTCTTCAAGGATTTTTTTGTTAAAGGGCTGTCCCATCATCCGGAGGATGTCCGCAACGAAGTCACATGGGATGCTGCCCGAGCGGTTGTGGTCGAAACCGTCGAAGGCCTTGCGGAGGACTGGAACAAACAGCACAAAGTTAATACCACGCCGAGGTTACGCAATACGAATAAAATGTACCGGAAAGTCAAGACCGTTGAACGTCGTACCCTCGATGTTCAGCATGCTCATTGTGGACGGAATTAAATTAAATAAATGCGGTTAACGAAACTTATTAATTTCCGATTACAAATTTTGTAAGGACAATAGCGGTGTAGCGCTTGCAATAAAAACGGTCGCACTGGTCGCTCGACGGGTGAAGATGGGATTAGAACAGAGGTTCAATGCTCCGAAATGCAGTGCGAATAAGTTGTGCAACACAGCTATTTCCGTGCAACAGGCGCGGCGAGCGCGGTGCACCGGTGCTGCGTGTGCGTGTAAATAGGACGCCGATAAATAACCAATGAAAACACGCACAAATACTGTAAATTACTGACACAAAAAGCTATTTATCGCAATTTGATGTTAAATGTCAATATTAGTATGTCAGGATATGATAATTTTAAATGACCTATTCAATGAAAATATCAACTTATTTCCTTTACCGAGATTGGTATACGCATTAGTTGCATTATTTCTTTTGTTTACAAAAGATTTTATGGGGCAAGAATTTAGTTAAGTTAGTTAGTTAGATATGTATTTCTAATTGGCATGACCTTAGTCACAATACTCTTTCGATTCTTTCAGTCTTTTTCGTTATCTACTTCGCTCTAAAGCCGACAACACATTGGTTGCTTAACATTGCTTTCGTTGTTGATTGATAGTATTTGTTAACAAACTTCCTGCGTCTCGGTTCTTTTTCCTTCTATCAAAAAAAACTATTAGTATTTATCTTCTATACACATATTAATCACAAAGCGTACGGTTGTAATGGTGCTATTATTATTGAGTTCGTCGTCTCCAAATCTTTGGCCTCAGTCGTTGTTATCGTATTTGACAAAGAGTTTTAAATAATCGCATGAGTTAATCAATTAATCAATCTATGATGATAATCACGGTTATGCTAAAGATGCCAAAAAGGCAGTAGTAATAAACGCAACGCTTAGTAGAAGAACGCAACGCTTAGTAGAGTATTAATATAGAAGTATTATGTTTTTCTTATCAACTTATCTCTTTAGTATATGATGTGATTTACGATCTTAATAAACGATGGCCTCAAGACAATTTATTATAAACGCTGACGATCGTGGACAGTTATAAAGTTTGATCTCGATTACCCCGACTCGGAGATTTGGGCGCGTGCGTCACTTTGTTTAAAAATAAAATGATATCAAATGTTGCTAACGAAAATAAACTCCTTCGAAGCTT